CCCCCACCCCCGCCAAGGGCCCCTCTGCAGGCAATCCCATAGGGCAGCCAGGGACAAGCCACGCACGCATGTCGAACAGATCCTTCTTGGGGCTGTCATCCAGGAGTGGGGGTTCCTCAGCCACATCCTCACGTTCCGCGGGGTCCAGGCCCTGGGTGTTGACGTACAGATGTTCCTCATAGTCCTGTGGGCCCCGGGCATCCGCCTGCATGTAGCCATCCCCTGGCGGGGCTGGGGAGGTTAGAGGGTGGCAGGGTCAGTGGGAAGTCCAAGAGAGAGCACAGAGGGTAGGAGGTGGGGACAGGGACTGGAACATAACCAGAGGGGGACAGGGAGGCCACTGTGTCACTCCACCAAGGCTTCCCGAAGGAGAGGAGAGTCCGACGATGCTCCTGCTAGGGATGCTAGCCACCTGTGCAAGGACTGACCGGGGCCCAGATAGCCCAGGGAAGGCAGCTCCCAGCCAGGAGGGGCTTCCAGACTCCAAGAGAGTTCCATGCATGTGGACCCCATGCTTCAACAGTAACAGCCCGGCCTCTGCCAATCTGCAACTCTGAGAGCCTGGTGTGTGACTAGGCTTTCCTGCCATCTGCTCTATTTTAAGACAAAACCTCCTCCCACTCTTCCTCCTCCTCCTCTCCTTCCTCTTCACCCTCCTCCCTACCCCCTGCCCTTCTCCAGGTCCTCCTTTTCCTCCCTCCCCCTTCTCCTCCCCATCTTCCTTTCTGTGAGTTCAAGGATAGTCTGGTCTACATAGAAAGTTCCAACCCAGCCAGTGAGACCCTGTCTCAAACAAACAAATAAAAACAACCTATTTGGGAGTGATGGTACACACCTGCCATCTTAGCACTAGGGGGAGGAGAATCAGGAGTTCAAGGTCAGCCTCAGTGACACAGTGAATTTGAGGCTAGCCTGGGCTACATGAGACTTAACAACAACAACAACAAAATCTGACTGTGGGGCTGGAGAGATGGCTCGGTGGTTAAGAACACTGGTTGTTCTTGCAGAAGACCCGAGTTTGAATCCCAGCACCCACGTGGCAGCTTACAACTGTCCATAACTCCAGTCCCAGGGCATCCGACGGCCTCTTCTGAGAGCAAATGTGAGAGGCTGACAAGACCTGTGATTTGTATGGACACCAACTAACTAGCATAACAGCTGAGGGAGGAAGGACATTATTGAAACCTAAGTCACAGCTCCAGGTGAGAAGGCTGATAAGGTCACTGGGTGATTACCGTCAAGCTTTCAGGAGCCCAGTCCACCTGGGGTTGTACAGCGTTCTCATTCGAGAGTGATAAAGGCTGAAGGTGCTCATATTCACAGTCAGGAGCAGGGAGAGGTGAAATTGCTTTTTATGGGGGAGTACTATGCAGTCATGAAAAAAATGAGCAGTTTGAAGTATAGGGGTGTATGGAGATTGTCATGTGGACAAAAACCTAGTGGGTGAACATCCATGGAGAATTCTGGAAACCTCCAGAATCATTAAGTCACTAAAGTGCCTGTCTCGTTGGGGTGCAGGCAGCAGACACAGGCTTTTGTGGGGAGGCAGAACCCCCTAGGGGCTGTGAACCATGTGATGCTGAGTGGGCCCCCAACTGCAGGAAGGTGGGTTAGAGCACATCAGAGCAAAGTAGAGCAGGCAGTGGGCAGCCTGCAGGAGACAGTCATACCCAGAGAGCGTCACCAGGGACAGGACAGGCGGGGGCCATAGACCCTGTGACACTGGGCACTGACCTACCTGCACCAGAGGGGCCCACGTCCCAGGGCAGGCCACGGGCATCTCTCCGTGCAGGTGACATTCCCTGGAAGAGAGACATGGGGACCCCGATGTGTGTGCTGGGCCCACTCCCCACACCCAATGGCAGCTCTGTGACCTTCATAGCCCCTCAGGAGGGCAGACTGACCTGTCCAAATCCCCCAAGTGCCGCCAGTGCACAGGGCTGTGTGACAGCCAGTCTGGAGTCCACCAGGCCTCCCAGGGGTGGCTCCTTCCCTGGGATGCTGTTGTAGTAGTTGTGGTCAGCAGCTTCATCTTCATCCCCCCAGGCTGACTCCTCCAGTCCAGTCAACCTGGGAGGATGGAGCACGGCAGTTTGAACCAGAACCATCAGAGGGTTCATCCCTCAAGAGTCCAGTGAGGCGGCTCCTTAGAACATAACAGGGCTGCCACCTGCCACCTCTCTGTCTAAACGGGGCAAGTGAAGATGGATCCGTGTGATGAACAGATGGACAGATGGCAGAGCTAACTCTCACCTCTGGAGGTTTGGGCTAGCAGCCTGGCCCAAGAGACCTGGGTGTCTCTTTACCTTTCTGGGGGTACGACGGCCTTGGGGGGACTGTGCAGGTATTGTTTGAAGCGCAGCTCAAAGGCTTGGCCCACGGTGCTGATGACGCTCTGGGCGAGACCCTCACAGCATTCCAAGATGTGACAAGCTGAGGAAGGTGACAGTGTTGGGTGGCACCCAGGACCCAGCACACAGCACAGCCCAGCTCCAAGATGTCCTTAGCCTTGCTCTGAGTACCCCCTCCCCCAAGGCTCACCTCTCTGATTGATGGGGTCCTTGGCCACATATGCCACGTAATCAGTCATGTCCTGGGGAAAGGCAGATGGAGGGGTGGGCAGGGGTCAGTGCTCCAGAAACACAAGGGGCAGAGGGCACGATGGGTGGGGTCTGGGGAAGGCTGCGGGGACACAGGGCACAGAGGTTCACCTGGTCCCTGTCCCGTCTTACCGTATCACCTCCAGAAGCAAAGGAGATGGACTGCATATGATGGTTGGCGATGATCTGTATGGACAGAAGGACAGAAGCAGTCACGTGCAGTCATCCCATCATCCAGGCAGATGAACCAGAGCCAAAACGGACAGGTGTGGTAGGGACATGGGGACAGAGGTGCTCCAACTACTGTCCATCACAGCTAAGGTCTGAGTGTCCCACCGGGATAAGGAGCTCCCAAGAGGGCAGGATGGGGCCCAAGGAGGGGACAGTGGGACCAGGTCACAGGGTCAGTCCCCCTGACAGTCCCCCTGAAACATACATGTAAGTTCAGAGAGACATGGTAACCTGGACACATAGACACATGGCTGGGTGTGGTGGCTCATGCCTTTAACCCCAGAACTGGGAAGGCAGAAGTGGGTGGATCTGTGAGTTAAAGGCCAGCCTGGTCTACATAGCCAGTTCCAGATCAGCTGGGGTTACAGGGAGACCCTGTCTCAAAAAATTATAAACAGGGGCTGGAGACCTGGCTCAGCAGTTAAGAGCACTCGCTGTTCTTGCAGAGGACCCATGTTTGGTTCCCAGCACCCACATGGCAGCTAACAACCGTCGGTAATTACAGTTCCAGGGGATCCAATGCCCTCTTTAGACCTTCATTGCCATTGCATGCACACATGGTGCACTTACACACGTGCAGGCAAAACACTCATATACATAAAATAAAAATAAATACAAGGGCTGGAGAAATGGCTCAGCGGTTAAGAGCACTGACTGCTCTTGCAGAGGACCGGGGTTTGATTCTCAGCACCCACATGGCAGCTACGAACGGTCCTAACTCCAGTTCCAGGGGAATCCAAAGCCCTCTTCTGACCTCTGTGGCACTGCATGACAGGGGTGCACTCACATACATGCAGGCAATACACTCGTACACATAAAAAAAAATAAATAAATGCAAAAAAAATTTTTTGGTCTTTTTGAGACAGTGTCTCCCTGTAGCCCCAGCTGGCCTTGAACTCACAGAGATCCACCTGGCTCTGCCTCCTGAGTGCTGGGATTAAAGGCATGCACCACCTTGCCCGGCTCGAGATTTTTTTGAAAGATTCTAAAATAGGCTGGGCATGGTGGTGCACATCTTTAGTCCCAGCAGAGGCAGGCAGATCTCTGTGAGTTCAAGGCCAGTCTGGTCTACATAGTGAGTTCCAGGACAGCTAGGGCTATAGGGATACCTTTTTTTTTTTTTAAGATGGTCTCAATATGTAGCCCTTGCTGGCCTCGAACTCACAGAGATTGGTCTGCCTCTGCCTCCTGAGTGCTGGGATTAAAGATGTGTACCACTACACCAATCCCAAGCACATTTCTTTCCTTTCTTTCTTTCTTTCTTTCTTTCTTTCTTTCTTTCTTTCTTTTTCTTTCTTTCTCTTTCTTTCTTTCTTTCTTTCTTTCTTTCTTTCTTTCTTTCTTTCTCTCTCTCCTTCCTTTCTTTTTATGTGTGAGCGTATTGCCTGCATATGTGTTAGTGTACACATGTCATGCAATGCCCTCAGAGGTCAGAAGAGGGAGTTGGATTCTCCTGAAACTGGAGTTACAGACAGTTGTTAGCTGTCATGTGGGTTCTGGGAATCAAACCTGGGTCCTCTACAAGAGCCAGTGCTCTTACCCACTGAGCCATCTCTCCAGCCATGCCCCCCTCCCACCTCCCCACCCCACGCCAAGCATGTTTCTTGACAGTTAGGTTGGCACCAGAGCTGGCCAGGAGGGTGAGAGGCACGTGGAAGAGCAGAGCCACCAGCCCTCAGCTAAACAAATGCTCACTGTCCTGGGCTCACTTCTTACATAGTAGCCTGTGCCTTGCTGGCTGATAGACTCCAGCTCAGATTCCTCTGAATCCCAAATCTACCAGAGCAAAGTGAGAATTTATGTTCAGGGTGGAAGATTCAGGCCTGTCCCAGACCTGGTGATGGGTTAGTGGTTAGGTTAGGGTTGAAGTTGTAGTTGAGGTTGGAGTTAGGGTTGGGGTTGGGGTTAGGGTGTTTAGAGTTGGGGTTACGGTTAGGGTCAGGGTTAATGTTGGGTTAGGGTTAGGGTGTTTAGAGTTGGGGTTACAGTTAGGGCTGTGGTTAAGGTCTGAGTTAGGGTTAGAGTTAAAGTTAGGGTTAATGTTAGGGCTAGGGTTGGTTAGGGCTAGTGTTGAGGTTAGGGTGAGAGTTTGGCATAGGGTTAGGGATAGGCATAGTCTTAGGGCTAAGGTTAGGGTTAGGACAGTTAGAGTTAGTTAAGGCTAGTGCTGGGGTTAAGCATCTCCTACAGCCATCTCAAAGGCCTCCCTGGTGTCTTGGGGGTGCAGGGTTCTGAGAAGCATTGGAAGTCTCTACCCACGCCAGTTTAGCATCACTTCCCCAAGTCCTCTCACCTAAAGTTGGCCCAGCCTGCACTCCATAATGACCTGGAGACCACACAGTGCTAGCTACCAGGGACTTCATGCCCATGGTGACCACATGATCTGTACACAGCCCTGGGACAGACTGGTGGGTGGTATGTGGAGCTGATGATTGAAGGTGGAGCTGATGGTGGCGGTGGGTGATATTAAAGTGTGCTTATGGATGGAGCTGAGGATTAAGCTGAGGGGTAGTGCTGTGGGCAGAGCAGAGAGGACTAAGGCAGGGTTTTGGATGTGGCCAAAGTGGGGTTGTGGGTGAGGGTATGGGAGTTACTGAGGTGCCGGGTGGAGGCAGCAGGACCTACCTGGCGCGTAGCAGGCACTGACAGGTTGAGGCCATCCACAGAGATGTTGACAGAAATGCTCATACCTGCAAACCGCAGGTTGCTCTTCCCCAGGATGGTGGCCAGAGCTTTGTTGGGGGCCTAGGAAAGGCAGGGCACAGGAAGCAAACAGTGTGAGGTGCAGTTTGGCCTGGGGTCAGAGGGACTCCAGGTAGCCATGGGGTTCCCTCAGCCCTCCAGGGTACCCACTGGCTCTCCTCAGGATCACAGTCCACACCCACCTTCCTCTTCCAGGAGCCTCGGACCCCTGGCACTGCCTCATGGAGCCTATTGATGGCTTCCCTGCAGGAAGAAGAAACAGCAGGGTATGGACTCAGAGAAGGGCTGGGGACAGTTAGGCCTGGTTATCCCTGCGATTGGGAGGCAGAGGCAGGAGGATCATGAGTTTAAGGCCAGCCTGGGCTACATACCCTGGGATACATAAGACCTCACATACAAAAACAACAACACTGGAAGTGTTGGTGCACACTTTTTTTTTGGTCTTTTTGAGACAGGGTCTCCCTGTAGCCCCAGCTGTCCTGGAATTCATTATGTGGACCAGGCTGGCCTTGAACTCACAGAGATCCGCCTGCCTCTGACTCCCGAGTGCCGGGATTAAAGGCGTGTGCCACCACGCCTGGCCCGGTACACACTTTTAACCTCAGCACTTGGGAGGCAGCAGCAGGCAAACCTCTGTGAGTTTGAGGCCAGCCTTGTCTACATGGCAAGTTCCAGGCCAGCTGGGGGTACAGAGACACCTTGTCTCAAAAACAAACAAGCATGTTTGGAAAAGATTTTTTCTTTAAGATTTATTTATTTATGGGGCTGGAGAGATGGCTCAGCAATTAAGAGCACTGACTGGTCTTACAGAAGACCTGGGTTTGATTCCCAGCACCCACAAGGTGACGATGAACCATCCTTAACTCCAGTTCCAGGGGAATCCGATGCCCTCTCCTGACCTCCTCAGCATTGCATGACACGATGCACTCACATACATGCAGGCAATATACTCATACTAATAAATAAAATATTTTTAAAAGATTTGTTTATTTATTTATTTTTGTCTTTTTGAGACAGAGTCTTCCTGTAGCCCCAGCTGGCCTGGAAATCACTATGTAGACCAGGCTGGCTTTGAACTCACAGAGATCCACCTGCCTCTGCCTCCTGAATACTGGAATTAAAGGTATGTGCCATCACACCTGGCCTCTGTGTAAAATTTTTTAAAGTTCACAGAGAATGGAGTCTAGCCAGTCCTGTCCCCTCCTCAAGTCACACCCCACCGCAGAGCTAGCAGAAGGGAAACGAGTCTAGGAGCCTCCATCATAGCCACACACAGCAATTTGGATGGAGCCAAATCACAGGTGTAAAGTTCATCCTATGCCCAGCCTAGCACTGCTGTCTGTTGCCTTCAGTACCTGGAAGTCAGCCTTCAACTCGATATGCCACCCTCATGAGGCCTCATGCCGGCTGGGCCAGTGGAGACCTGAGCTCCCAGTCCCCACCCTAGCCTCACCTGGTCACCTGTGTTCTGGTGTTGAAATCCAGTGAGCGCATGGAGCGTAGAACCTCAATACATCCCATGTACTGGGGGTTGGGAGAGAGAGAGAGAGAGAGAGAGAGAGAGAGAGAGAGAAAGTGATTGATCAGTGGGATCAGTCCGTGGGATCAGTCAGCAGGCGGAGTCCAGCCCAGGACTGGTTCCCTTCAGGGAACTCCAACCTCCTCGTGGGCCACCCAGGGTCCTGCATCCCAGCCACCCCCTCCCCTATCTACTGTCAAACACCAACCTTCCCAAATCCCAAAGCACCATTTCAAAGTCTAGACTCTGGCTTTCTGTTCTTCTAGAACACAAGTCAGGGAGGAAACTGGGTGGTGGCAGGCACATTCACAGTCCAGGCGCCAGACACAGGGTTGACAGCCAGTCCAGACAGGGACCATCTGGTCGGCAAAGATGAAAACATCAGCCATCAGCCTTTCCTAAAAACTTTGCAGGTCTGGGGACCAGGCTCAAAGGTGGGTAGAGTGCTCACCTAGCACACATGAGGTTTTGGATTCATCCCCAGTTACACATAAACCAGGCGTGAATGGTGATGCACTCAGGAGGTGGGGGCAGGAGGATCAGGCAAGGCCAGCCTCAGCTACACAGGGAGATTGTTTCAATTTTAAAAAGGGGAGTGGAGGAGAGGGAAGAAAAGGGCTGGAAAGACGACTCAACAGTTAAGAACACTAGCTGTTCTTGCAGAGGACCTGGGTTGAGTTCCCAGCACCCACATGGTCGCTATCAGTCATCCATAACTCCAGTTCCAGTTGATCCAACATCTTCTTCTGGCCTCTGCAGGTATTACATACACAGGTGCACTTACATACACTCATGTACACACTCGTAAAATAATATTTTTTTTTGTTTTCTTGAGGCAGGATCTCCCTGTAGGCCCACAGGGCCTAGAAGTCCCTGTGTAGACCAGGCTAACCACTATCTTACAAAGATCTGCCTACCTCTGCCTCCTGAGTTCTGGGATTAAAGACGTGTGCCACCATGTCCAGACTGAATAAATTTTTTTGGTCTTTTTGAAACATGGTTTCCCTGTAGCCCCAGCTGGCCTGGAACTCACTATGTAGATCAGGCTGGCCTTGAACTCAGAGATCCATCTGCCTCTGGCCCCCAAGTGCTGGGACTACAGGCGTGCACCACCATGCCTGGCTAAATAAATTTTTAAAAATATTTTAATTATTATTTTTATTTTATGTGTATGAGTGTATTGCCTGCATGCATGTGAGTGCACCCGTATTGTGCAATGCTGCGAAAGTCAGAAGAGGGCTTTGGATTCCCCTGGAACTAGAGTTAAAGACGGTTTCGTAGCCACCATGTGGGTGCTGGGAGTCGAACCCAGGTCCTCTGCGAGAGCAGTCAGTGCTCTTAACCGCTGAGCCATCTCTCCAGCCCCCTAAATAAACTTTTTAAAAGAAGAGACAGAAACTTCCAACTCATCTTGGCAGGAAGAGGTTTGTGACAAAGCTATGAGTACATGAACTTCCAGATACAGGAAGTGGACTCATGGGTGCCAGGGGCTGGGGAAGGAATGGGGTGATGGCTTACAAAGACAGGGCTTCCTATTAGAGATGGAATGTTCTGGAACTGGATGAAGTGGTCTTTACACACCAAATGCCACTGCATTGTCCAAAATGATTAATTTTATTTTGTGATTTTAAAAAATAGGGTACAGACCTTGTAGGAGTGGGTCTCAAAACTTTCCCCAGCCTATGGGGACAGTGGCTGTGCCTTTCCTATATGAGGCTGAGCCAGGGAGGCTGGAGCTTCTGGAGGCTGCCATTTCCACTGCCTCTGCTGAAGCTGCTTGAGAGACAGGCCCTCCCTCAGGAAGGTGCAGCTAAAAGTCATGTATGGTGGCACAGGGTTGGAATCCTAGTTGGAGGTAGAGGCAGGAGTATCTGTTCATGCTCATCTTTGACTACAATGAGACCTTGTCTCATAAAACAGAAAAGAAGGGACTGGAGAGATGGTTCAGTGGTTAAGACACTGCTGCTCTTGTAGAGGTCACATGGCTAACAACCACCTGTAACTCCAATTCCAGTGGATCCAACACCATCTTCTGACTTCCTAGGACTTCTGTATGCATGTGGTGCTCCTACATACACATATGTCCTAGTTTGTTCTCCATTGCTGTGACAAAATACTCTGACCGCTACCAACTTGGGGAGGAAAGGGTTTATTCAGCTTACAACTCCCAGATCGCAGTTCATCAGGGAGCCCTGCTGCTTACTGGCTTGCTCCCCTGGCCCCTGCTCAGCTTGTGCTCATATCCAACACAGGCCCACCTGCCCAGGAATGGCACCACGCACAGTGGGCTGGGACCTCCCACATCACTCAACAATCAAGAAAATGCCCCACAGACATGGCCACAGGCCAGTCCAATGGAGGCAATTCCCCGACTGAGGCTCCCTCAACCCAGGTGTGTCAAGTTGACACTAAAGCTATCCAGCACAATTGACCCCTTGTCAGCTTGACACACAAACATCACTACTAAACCATAAATTTCCAATTTCTGCCCCCAAGATATAATGATAATATCACAACCTAAGACAGTACAATGTTAAAAAACCCACAGTCCTTAAAAAAAAACACTTAAAAGTTCATAATCTCTTTTAAAAATCTCTTAAGTGTGGGCTTCTGTAAAATCCAAAACAAGTACTGTCTTATTTCAAAGGGAAGAATCGGACATACCTAAGCAAAACCAAAGTCCAGCAAAGTAGCTCAAGGCTGGGATTCATTCACAATCTTTTGGGCTCCAAAGGTTACTGGCAGCTCCACTGCTCTGACTCTGCAGTCCGCAGCACACTCAGCTCATCTTGCAGACCCAGGCCAGCTCCATTCCACACCTGCTGCTGTCCTTGGTGGTCGTCCCACGGTCCCGGCATCTCCAAAAAGCTGGAGTCGCCACTGAAACTGAAGCTACACCTTCACCAATGGCCTCTTCTTGCCTCTTGGGGCGAAAAGCCTCAGGTTCTCTCCATGACCCCTTCAATCCTGGGGTCTTCACTGCAACTGAAGTGGCACTTTCACCTATGGCCTTTCCTGGCCTCTCAGAGTGCCAAGCCTCAGCCGCTCTCTGTGACCCCTTCACGCTTTCAACACCAGAACCATGCAGGAGACTCTTACACATTACCAAGTCCTGCTTCCAGCTTGAAATAGAGGTGCGGGTGCCCTCTGTGTGCTGACGCTGAGGAAATGCCTCCCAGAAGACTCCACCAGTGATGCTGCTCTCGTTACTTACAGCTGATTTTTCAGCCCCAGCTAGCCAGCATCAATTGTCCCAGTAAAGCAAAGGTTTTGCTTCAGGTTCTGGTCTCTTCTTAATCACAGCTGATTCTTCAGCCCCAGCCAACCAGAACCCACAGATTCTCAATTCAAAATACCACACAAACAGCCCTGGTAGTTCTGCTTCCCTTTGAAGCTTCACAAGCCAGGCCTCCATCGGCTACAACTCTTTCAGCATAGCTGTTCCAAGCTCCACTGCAACAAACTGTGAGCACGCAATGGCTTTTCCAGCCTAAAGTTCCAAACACTTCCACAGTCCTCCCCAAAACACCAAGGTCAGGTCTGTCACAGCAATACCCCACTTCTGGTACCAATTTCTGTCCTAGTTTGTTTCTTCATTGCTGTGACAAAATACTCTGACCGCTCCAATACCAACTTGGGGAGGAAAGGGTTTATTTATCTTACATCTCCCAGGTTGCACGCACTTCATCAGGGAGCCCAAGGTAGGAACTCAGGGCAGGAGCTGGAGCACAGGCCATGGAAGAACGCTGCTTACTGGCTTGCTCCCTGGTCCCTGCTCAGCCTGCTTTCTTATACAACACCGGCCCACCTGCCCAGGGGTGGGCCCACCCACAGTGGGCTGGGCCCTCCCACATCACTCAACCGTCAAGAAGATTCCCCACAGAAGTGGCCACAGGCCAGTCCAATGGAGGCAATTCCAAGATTGAGGCTCCCTCAACCCAGGTATGTCAAGCTGGACACGAAAGCTATATCCAGCACAACATACATATAAAATAAACAGATTAGGGGAAAAAATAGGGTCTGACTTGGTGGTGCACACCTTTAGTTCCAGCACTCAAGAGGCAGAGGTAGATGGATCTCTGTGAGACTGAGGCCAGCCTGGTCTATGTAGAGAGTAGCTGGGGCTATAGTGAGACACCCTTTCTCAAAAAAAAAAAAAAAATCAGAGCAAAACAAACAAACAAAAAAAGATAAATACAGACATGCTTCCCTCCCATAACTCCATTTCTAGAATTTTACCCCACATCCCCACAGCCTGGAACCATGTGGGCAGGTTCCATGGGCTGGAAAAAGGAACCAGTCGAACTCCTCCTGCCCTGCCCACTCCCAGAACAGGCCCCCACACTGCTCTATCCTCCTCCTTCAAATCCCGCCTCAGTTTCTCCTCTGAGGTCCTGTGAAGTCACCCCTCCTGCCCTACTGGACCCTGCAGCTCTGAGCAAACTGAAACAGGATCCCCTACACCAGTAGGCACCGGCTACACACAGGGGCCAGGACACTCTGGGATGGTCAAGCTCATCATCAACGAATACTTTGGCAGCTTTAGAATTCCCCAAGCCACACATGGGCATCTGGACACTAAGATACTTTTAGAAAAAAATTAGTTCATGTATGAGTGTTTGCCTGGTATATGTGCCCCATACATGTACCTGGTGTCCCAGGAGGCTAGGCATTGGATCCTTGGAACTGGAGGTACCAGACCATGTTCACCACCATGTGGATGCTGGGAACCAAACCCAGGTCCTCTGCAAAAGCTGCCAGTAACCAGTGAGTCATCTCTCCAGCCCCTACTCTTTGGAAATAAATTTAACTAGACATCCTCTGCTTTTTAGAAGAGCCTGCAGTCCTTAAGAGACAAGTGTTTTGTTTTGTTTAAGGTGTGCACTTTTATTAAACTGGTCTCAAGTCAGTGTACAGGCAAGCCCTGGCCACCTCACACCTCAACCCACTCCCAGGGAGCCCAAAATCCTTCATACATCAAGTTGGGGGGACAAGAAGAGGCAGGCCAAGATGGGTGACCATTCAAAATAAACAAAAATTAAAAAGTATTAAGGCAGAAGATCTAAAAAATTTCTTGCAGTACATAATTTTCACAAAAGCAATGCTGTCGCTTCCCCTGCATGGACTCAGGGTGTGGACTGGGCCATCCTCCTTTTGGGAGTCGGGGTGGCTTTTGGGAGGGACTTCCTGTAACCAGGGATACTTGGAATGACTATTTAAAAAAGGTACAAAGTCCTAGCCACATAGTAGAATTCGGGGAAGCTTGCTCCAACCGACTGCTGTCCCCTTCACCGGTCCAGTTTTTAAATCCTGAGTCAAAAGCACCAAAACAAAAGAACAATTTTTTTTTTTAATTTTTTAAAAAGGGCTGGAGAGATGGCTCAGCAGTTAAGAATACTGGTTGTTCTTGCGGAAGACCTGAGTTCGAATCCCAGCACCCACATGGCAGCTAACAACTGTCGGTAACTCCAGTTCCAGGGCATCCAAAAGCCTCTTCTGTCTTCCGCGGGCATTGCACGATACAGGTGCACTTACCTACATGCAGGCAATACACTCATACACATAAAAATAATAAATAAAATATTTTTAAAAGATTTCATTAAAAAAAGAACCTTAAAAAAATTAAAAAAAACAAACAAAGACATGCCAATGTTGTCTCGTGGTTTTTTTTTTTTTTCTGCGCAAGTTAGGTTTTGTCAAGAAAGGGTGTAACAGCTCACTCAGTTAAGTAACAGTTGGCCTACAAGCATTTGTGGTAGACGACGGAGGGACCAGACTCATCGTACTCCTGCTTACTGATTCACATCTGCTGGAAGGTGGACAGCGAGGCCAGGATGGAGCCACCCATCCACACGGAATACTTGTGCTCAGGGGGCGCGATGATCATGATCTTCATCATGCTGGGAGCCAGAGCAGTGATCTCCTTTTGCATCCTGTCTGCGATGCCAGGGTACATGGTGGTCCCACCAGACAACACTGTGTTGGCACAGAGGTCCTTACGGATGTCAACATCACACTTCATGATGGAATTGAAGGTGGTTTCGTGGATACCACAGGATTCCATACCCAGGAAGGAAGGCTGGAAGAGCGCTTTGGGGCAGCAGAAACACTCATTGCCAATGGTGATGACCTGGCCATCAAGCAGCTCATAGCTCTTCTCCAGGGAGGAGGAAGATGCAGTGGTGGCCATCTCTTGCTCGAAGTCTGGAGCAACGTAGCACAGCTTCTCCTTGATGTACCACTCAGCTGTGGTGGTGAAGCTATAGCCACACTCGGTCAGAATCTTCATGAGGTAGTCTGTCAGGTCCTGGCCAGCCAGGTCCAGATGCAGGATGGCATGAGGGAGAGTGTAGCCCTCATAGATGGGCACAGCGTGGGTGACCCCCATCACCGGAGTCCATCACGATGCCAGTGGTACAGCCAGAGGCTATAGGGACAGCACAGCCTGGATGGTTATGTACATGACTGGGGTGTTGGCCTTGGGGTTCAGAGGGGCCTTGGTGAGCAGCATGGGGTGCTCCTCGGGGGCCACACGCAGCTCATTGTAGAAGGTGTGGTGCCAGATCGTCCCAGTAGGTGACAATGCCATGCTCAATGGGGTACTTCAGGGTCAGGATGCCTCTCTTGCTATGGGCCTTGTCGCCCACGTAGGAGTCCTTCTGGCCCATGCCCACCATCACACCCTGGTGCTGCAGTGGCCCACGATGGATGGGAAGACCGTACGGGGAGCATTGTCGCCCAGTAGCCAGCTTTGCACATGCCAGAGCCATTGTCTACCACAAGCTCAGCGATATCGTCATCCATGGCAAACTGGGTGGTGGGTGTGGACTGCCAGAGGAGCAGATGGGAGAGATCTAGACACCCTGGGTGGACACGGACTCAACCAAGAGACAAGTGTTTTATGAACTTATTTATTTTTATATACATGAGTGTTTTGCCTGTAAGTGCACCTGTGTCATGCAAGGCCCTCCGAGGCCAGAAGACGGTGTCAGATCCCCTGGAACTGGAGTTACAGTCATTTGTTAGCCACCACATGGGTACTGGGAACCAAACCCAGATCCTCTACAAGACCAGCCTGTACTCTTAGCCACTAAGCCAGCTCTCCAGCCCCCATTTTTAGGGATTTATATGCAATCATGGCCAGCTAGTTTTGGGTGCCAAGCTGGAAGTCAGTGGCACTGTGAGGAGCATTCATGTGAATTGAGGTGACAGGAATATGGGGTGCATGCTCACACAGTGTCTACATTTGCAGGGACGTGGACTGAGTGGTCAGCAGTGTCCAGGCAGCTGCCTCTGGGCAGAGAACTGAGATGCCATGGACACACTGTGTCATCCTCCCTCCAGACACCCTCAGGTAGATCTTGTGGTGGTGATTTGACCTATAAGACATCAGCAAAAGGGTACAGGGTCTCAGAAGCTTAGGTTCATGGATGTGCCCCTGGCAGCTCTCTTAGGCACTGTAAACATTCAGGGTACCAAGCCAGGTGCTGGAAGAAGAGACTGTGTTCCAGTCTGGCCACTCACCATGCAAAAGAGGACAAACAGGGCACTGAGCCTTTGCCCAGCACAGAACGAGAAAGTCGAGAATCTGTGATACATATCACTAAGCTCAGTGGCTAAGCAAGGGGAGGGAGCAGCAAGTGAGGACTCCGCTGAGCAAAACAACAGGGCTGGGAGACAAGCTCGGATGGGGCTGGAACAGGGGCCAAGTGGAAAAGATGGGAGGGCGAAGGCCAGGAGGCCAAAGTCACAGGACACAGTTGTGATTGGGCCATGGGGTTCACTCTGCGTGCAGGTGGGAGCTGAGTGCCTCACCTGTGGGATGGACGACTAGATGGATGGATGGATGGATGATGGATGGATAGATGGATAGATGGGTGAATATGGGTGGATAGGTAGGTGGACAGATGAATGGATGATGAGTGAATAGATGGATGAATGGGTGGATGAGTGGATGGATGGACAATGGGTGAATGGATGATGGATGGATGGATAATGGATGAGTGGGTGGATGAATATGTTGATGAATGGTTGGGCTGGATGGGTAGATGCGTGGGTGGATGGGTAGATGAATGAGTGGGTAGGTGGATGGATGGATGAGTATGGATGGGTGGGTGGATGGACTGTAGATGGATAGATGGTCAGGTCATGGATAGAGAATGGATGGCAGATGCACAGGCCAGTGTGGACTCTATGTCAGCTGTGTCTCAGCCACATGGCACATCAGAGGGCACCAGCCATGGTACCTGCCCCCAAAAATCTGGGTCAACTGCTCCTACATTCCTCATGCCTTGCCCCTGTCAGTGTCTCTGTCCCAGTCCCACAGAGTGAGCAATGTTGGGGCTGTAGGGCTGTGGCCCACACATCAACATTTGAAGTGTGATTCCCCACCAGGGGAGGCAGAAGGTGCAGCCTCTTACAAAGAGGACCAAGAAGCCCAAGAAAGGAACAGTCTCTTATAGAGGAGTTGGGTTCACAAACATTGCTAGAAGCCCTGGCTGCTACTCTGCAATGGCCTACAATTCTGGGTGCAGAGCCTGCCTGAGAGCCACGCTTCAGGGACTCGGGGAGAAGATGGCTCTGTGGGTAAAGTGTGGCTGAGGTCAAATCCTCAGCACATGCGTAAAGATCGGGGTATGCCAGGTGTGCTAGCTCATGCCTTTAATCCCAACACTTGAGAAGCAGAGGCAGGCGAATCTGTGAGTTTGAGGCCAGCCTGGACTGCATAGCAAGTTCAAGACTGTGACAGTTCAGGAAGATGTGAGCAATGCATCCTTAAATCCAAACCCAAGTACTCATGGAACCACAGACACCCAGACTCAAGAAGAGGTAGAAAGGAACCTCTAGGGAGCCTCTGGAGGCAGCTCAGCCTGTGCAGACTCGGGTGTAGGTGTCCAGTCTCTGGAACATGCAGGGACACATTTCTGGTATTCTAAGCCACATTGTCATAGAAACTGTCATGTTGTCCTAAGGGATCTGTGGCCTGTCTTCCATGTCTGTGGGTCCCAGAGAAAAGGCCCCCTTTCCTGTGCACCTCATTCTTGGTGATGCCGATGTCCCCAAGTTCTTAGCCACTGTTCTCTGTCTCTGTAGTCAGATCAGGGCCCTGTGTCTCTCTGGAGCATACTGCTTGGGGGCTCTGCACATTTATGTCCTGAAGCACAGCAGCTGACAGTCCTCTGGTGATACGGCTCAGGCGACCACAAGACAATACTGAATGTTCTAAAGTTTCTCCACTGTTATGACAAAATACTCTGAACAATACCAACTTGGGGAGGAAAGGATTTATTTGGCTTATGTCTCCCGGGTCATAGCCCATCAGTGAGGGAGTCCAAGGCAGGAACTCAGGGCAGGAACCTGGAGGCAGGAGTTGGAGCACAGGCCATGGAGGAATGCTGCTTACTGGCTTGTTCCCCTGGCTCGTGCTCAACTTGCTTTCTTATACAACATAGGGCCACCTGCCCAGGGGTGGCACCTCCCACAGTGGTCTGGGTCCTCCCACATCACTCAATAATCAAGAAGATGTCCCACAGACATGCCCACAGGCCAGTCTAATGGAGGAAATTCACCAATTGAGGCTCTGTCTACCCAGGTGTGTCAAGCTGACAGCTAAAGCTATTCCAGCACACTGAATTTTACTGTTTGTTTTTGAAACAGAGTTTCCCTGTAGCCCCAGCTGGCCTGGAACTCACTATGTAGACCAGGTTGGCCTAGAACTTACTATGTAGCCCAGGCTGGCCTCAAAGTCATGGAGATTCGCCTGCCTCTGCCTCCTCAGGGTTGGGATTAAAGACATGCACTACCATGCCTAGCCCCCAGTCTTTTTAAATTCCCTGCATGTATGTAAGTGTATCCATGTCATGCAATGCCCATAGAGGCCAGAAGAGGGTGCTGGATCCCCTGGAACTGGAGTTACTGATGGTTATTAGCCACCACGTAGGTGCTGGGAACCAAACCAGGGTCCTCTGCAAGAGCACCCAGTGCTCTTAACTGCTAAGTATCTCCCCACATGGTCTTTCTAAGAGGGGTCAGAGCCAATGTCCACTAACTACATCTTCAGAGGCTTTGTGTCCATGTGTTGCCCCATTCTGGGGCACCAGGTAGATGTGAATTTAAAGGGACATCACTCCCCATTACAGATGCCCACAATTTGGGTGCCTGATGAAGTCACTGGGTCAGCCTACTCGAGCTGCCCAACTGGGGGCCTCTCTCTTCTCACCAGACACACCCCTCCAGGACTGAGCTGCTGAACCAGGCTGGTGGTGACCAACACTGGGAGAGATTTGGGCAGCTTCACTGTGCCTCTGTGGCTCAGAAAATATCCAGGTTGCAGTAACCATGGGTCCTAGCATATCCAGGATGGTCAGAGCCTTTAGCTTGAATGCATCTGCAAGACCCCTTCTGCCTACAGGCTGTGGACATTGGGACACTGGCCCCAGAGACACATGACCTGTGAAGGGTGGGTGCTGACTCCCACAGGAGGTGCCTCAGCTCCAGATCTGGCCCCAAATATTCACAGAGTGACCTCTAAAACTTCTTTGTTCCTCAGTTTCCCACTCATATTTGCTGATCCTCAGGGCCCTCTCCCTGCATGACCTGGCTGTTCTGCCCTTGACCTCTGTGTTGTCATCCACGAGGCCAACCTGGTTTTCCACATGCATACCCATGTCCAGGTCACTATGCTCTCTTCATACCTCCTGGGTGTCCATTCCTCCCCTCTAGCTATGCATCAAGAAGATGCCCCACAGACCTGGCCACAGGCCAGTCCTGTGGAAGAAATTCCCCAATTGAGGCTCCCTCAACCCAGGTGTGTTAAGTTAACACTAAAGCTATCCGGCACATTAAGTCATCTCCAAGGTGACACTGTAAGGCTGTGTGAGTACCCTGTTCCTCAACAATCTGCCTCCCAATGTTCTTGCATCCACTGATGATCCTTGTGAGTTATTATAGAAAATGTAAGTGCCAGCCAGGTGTGGTAGCACAAGCCTTTAATCCCAGTACTCGGGAGTCAGAGGGTTTCCATAACAAATCCAGGCTAGCTGTGGGTACACAGGGAGACCCTATCTCAAAAAGACCAAAAAAAAAAAAAAAGATTTATTTGTATGTGTATGAGTGTTTTGCCTGCATGTATATGTGCACCATGTGGGTATAATGCCCATGGAGACCAGAAGAGGGCATTGGGTCCCCTGGAACTGGAGTTACAGATGTTGTTAGCCACCATGTGGCTGTTGGGAACAGAACCTAGGTCCTCTGCAAGAGAAGCCAGTGCTCTTAACTGCTGAGCCAGCTCTCCAGCCTCTTAAAATTTTGTTTAAAGATTTTTTTTTTTGGTCTTTTTGAGACAGGGTCTCCCTGTAGCCCCCGCTGGCCTGGAACTCACTATGTAGACCAGGCTGGCCTTGAACTCACAGAGATCCGCCTGCCTGTGCCTCCCGAGTGCTGGGATTAAAGGCATGCGCCACCATGCCCAGCTAAAGATTTATTTTTAATTATGTATAAGTGTGTGTATATGTGCACCATATGCATGCAGTACCCACAGCAGCCAGAAGAAGGTGTCAGATCCCCTAGAACAGTAGTTAGAGACAATTGTTTGTTTCCATGTGGGTTCTGGGAATCAAACCTGGGTCCTCTGCATGAGCAGCAAGTGTTCCTAACCACTGAGCTGGCTCCCCAGCCCAGCATGATGCTCTTTTGACAAAGTCCCTGGAAAGATCCTTTGGAAATCCCAAGCTCCAACCTGCCACACCTGGCTTAGCTTTATCCATTGTGTCTCCCAGGCTCACTCCCCGCCATGGGGCTTTTGCACTGTGTCCTGCCTAGAACAGTGTCTTGCCTGGGTTTTCCACAATTTCATGTTTCAGCTGGAGTGTCACCATCTGAGAGATGTCTCTGGAGCCACCCACCCATCTCCCACTCTGACAGCCCCACAGTCTTACCATCTCAGCCCCTCTCAGAACTTGAATCTTTCCCTTGGGTTGTCTTCATTTATTTACTGTCTCTCCCACTGCAATCAAAGCCTCAGCAGGCCAGAGACCAGAGCGTTCCCGAAACCTTCACACAGCCAGTAGGTCAGTACTCAACAGGGACACACATCTTACAACCAAAAACCCAACAATGATAGGGTCCAACAGACATGATGGGGCCCTGGAGGGATATGATGAGGTGGCCCATGGAAGCATCCATGGGATGGTCTCTCAAACGGTGGGACATCAGAACCCAGCTTCTCCTCAACAGCAAAGCACTGGACTCAGAACGTGGGCATCAGTCTACAGGGGACACTCAGACCTAGCACACACAGGAGTCCAGGAGCCACAGCCAGATCTGAACCCGGCCTGGCACTGCAAGGATTCAGAGCTACAGCCTGGACCAGGGGCACACATTCAGCATTGAGGCTGGTGCACTGAGGGAGGGTTATCTGTTCTCCTGCCCTTCTGCAACAAAGTACCAGGGGGTAGAGACACAGGACAATAGGAGTCTGTTCTCCATCACGGAAGCTGGACATCTGAGGCTGGTCTATGTAGGTGACACTCCCTCTCAGACTCCATGGGGAAGGTCTCCCTGGCCTCTTCCAGCTTCAGAAGCAGGGGCTCCCAGGAATCTCCAGCGGGCCCCGGCTTGTGGCTGAGTCTCTTGCTCCAGCCTCTACCTGAATTTTCTCTTAATGCTTTGTTTGGTTTGGTTCCTTTGTTGTGTTTTGCTTTGTTTTGTTTTTTGAGACAGGGCCTCCCTGTAGCCCCAGCTGGCCTGGAACTTTCAATTTAGGTGAGGCTGGCCTTGAACTCAGAGCCATCCTCCTGCCTCTGCTTCCCGAGTGCTGGGGTTAAAGGCATGTCCCACCACCACCTGGATTGGGGGTTTGGTTTTTTTAACATTTATTAATCAATTTTTAATATTTTTATTTATTTATTTATTTATTTAGGTATTTTTGAGACAGGGTCTCCCTGTAGCCCCAGCTGGCCTGGAACTCGCTATGTAGACCAGGCTGGCCTCAAACTCACAGATTCACCTGCCTCTGCCTCCTGAGTGCTGGGACTAAAGGCATGCACCACACCTGGCTTTATTATTTTATATGCATGTATATTGTCTGCATGTATGTAAGTGCATCCATGCCATGCAATGCCCATGGAGGTTAGAAGAGGGCGTCAGATCCCCTGGAACTGGAGTTACAGACAGTTGTTAACCACCATGTGGGTGCTGGGAACTGAACCAGATCCTCTCCAAGAGCAGTCAGTGCTCTTAACCAATAAGCCAGCTCGACAGATTCTGGATTTATTTATTTTTATTTCATGTGTATGAGTGTTTGGCCTGCATGTATGTAAGTGCACCATGAGTGTGCAATGCCCGCAGAAGCCATCATAAGGCATCAGATCCTCTGAAACTAGAGTTACAGACAGTTGTTAGCTGCATGTGGGTGTTGGGAACTGAACCTGGGTCCTCTGCAAGAACAACCAGTGCTTTTAACCACTAAGCCATCGTTCCAGCCCCTCATTTTTCCTCTAAGATAGGTTTCACCATGTAGCCCAGTGTGGGCTACAACTCTTGACAATCCTCCTGCCTCAGCATACCAACTGCTGGGATGACAGGCATGCACCACAATGCTCAGCTGAACCTACATCCAAATAAGATCTGTTTACAGAACCCCAAGGCATAAGAATATTGGAGGGACTCAACCAGCCTGGGGAGGGTGCCAGTGACACTGGACTGCAGTGGCAGGCGCACTTGCCGCCAGACACCAACATTCTAAGCATCCTGGTTCAGGACAATTAACAAACAACGCTCTAGGATTGCTTGATGGCTTATGAATTGCAGTGGGTCTGTCACCAGGCGGATGGCTGAAGTGAGCCTCACATATCAGAACTTACTTTCAAGAAGCTGATCAAACTGCACACACAGGGGTGGTTGACAGCAAAGATAAAACATCAGCAGTGACAGGTGGATATGAGGGAGACTGTGCCCCACACCTCATCAAAAGTCACAATAAAAACCTGGGTGGCTGTGGCAGAGGCTCAGTGAGTAGAGTGCTTGTTGCTCAGTGGGTAAAGTGATTGTAGTGTAGTGGGTAGAATGCTTGTAGCTCAGTCGGCAGGGTGCTTGATGCTCCGCAGGTACAGTGCTTGTAGCTCAGTGGGTAGAGTGCTGGCCTAACATGCACAAGGCCCTGAGTTCATCTCTAGCACCATAATAAAAGGCGTGGTGGTGCACACCTGTCATCCCAGCACTCCAGAGGTGGAGGCTGGAGGATCAGGAGTTCAAGGTCATCCTCTGCTACATAGTGAATTTGGAGCCAGTCTGGCTACATGAGATCCCGTCTCACAAAAAAAAAAAAAAAGTAACAAACAAAAGAATAAAGGTGGGGGGGACTCCCACATTCTTCATCCCATTTGCTTGGTTGATGAGGCAGGATGAGTGCCTCAAGTTGGAGACCAGAGTGAAGCCCTGTCTCAAAATCCCTCTCAGCCAGGCCTGTTAGCAGGTACCTTTCATCCCAGCACTTAGGAGGCAGAGAAGGAGGCAAGCAAATCTCTATGAGAGCAATACCAGCCTGGGCTACATAGTGAGTTCCAGGCCAGCTGGGGCTACAAGGCGACCCTGTCTCAAAAGAAGAAAAATTCCTCCCTCACCTCCAATCAAATAAAATGAAAGTGATGAACAAAGTTAGGCTACCGGGTGTGGTGGTGCACACCTTTAGTCCCAGCACTCGGGAGGCAGAGGCAGAGGCAGGCAGATCTCTGTGAGTTCAAAGCCAGCCTGGTCTACATAGCGAGTTCCAGGTCAGCTGGGGCTACTGGGAGACCTTGTCTCAAAAAAGACCAAAAATCAAAAGAGACCAAAAATTAAAAAAAAACAAAAAAAAAAAGCCGGGCGTGGTGGCGCACGTCTGTAGTCCCAGCATTTGGGAGGCTGAGGCAGGCGGATCTCTGAGGCGAGTTCAAGGCCTGCCTGGTCTACATAGTGAGTTCCAGGCCATGTGGGTGTGACACACAAAAAAAAAAAAAAAAAAAAAAAAAAAAAAAAAAAAAAGTCAGGCTGTTCAGTCCTAATGTGGCCTCCGAGAGCTCTGGTCTACGGCCTCTGTCCAAGGTCTTTGGAACATCCCCAGCTGTCCCATCACTACAATATAGCTTTTTTCAAAGCTGGGCTGTGGTGTGAGGTGGTGATACTGCCTTCAGGGTCCTCATCTTTCAGATTCTGCCATCCAACAGCCGGGGAGGTGCGAAACCTGCGCATGCGCCTATCCTCTTCCCCACCTGCGCCCTCTCTCCGCCCCTCCCCACGTGACGCCGTGGGAATGAGGTTGGGGGCTGCCCAGGTGCGCGCTGGAGATGTGGGGGGGTCTCGGGTTGGTAGCGAGCGAACGCTCGGCCCTCGGGATTCCCCGAGATCCAAACTGGGGAGTCTGGCAGGAGGCCGGGCTCACTCACCCGAACGATGTAGGAGACCCCTGGCCCCAGGACCCTGGCATCGGGGTGCAGCCAGCCGTGCGCCGGCTTGTGGATGAAGCCGCCCTTGCGCGCCCACTCGTCGGCGGAATCGGGGTTGCCCCGTGCTCCCCGCGTCCCGGAGCCCCGGCAGCGGCCGAGCGCGGGCAGCGGACACGGCGCGGTGCAGCGCGGCTCGCAGGCGCCCAGGACGGCGGCCAGCGCGGGGACCCCGGGCTCGG